GTGGAGTTTAATTTAGACAGACATGTCAGGGAAGGTCTTTCGAAGTAACAGATATTAAAGCTTAAGATGTAAAAGATAAGGAGTCAGTCAGGAAACAGGTGAACTAGGGATTCCAGGCCAAGAAAATCAAGAGAAAAAATCTTGAGGCTTGATCTAGCATGGATTGTTTAAGTAGTTGAAGGACAGGTAGTGCAGGTGGCCCTTGATGGGGTGAAGAGAACGGCTAAGCTGTGAGGTAGCAGAGAATGTCATAAGATGGGATTGGTTCTCCGAATCTTCTGAAGGCAGGTGCCAAATAATGCAGGGCTCAAGGGGGTTATGTGACTGTTTTATCCAAAGTTGTTAAAGAGTTTTAAGCAAGATGAGATATCATTTTTCCATTTTTCATCCTATTTTTCCATTTCAGAAAGATGTCTCTGGCTGCTGAATAGAGAGTTGGGGAAAGGAAAGCTTAGTAGAGAGCTATTTCTAGCATTAGATTGAATATTGGTTAGGATTTGGGTGGTGGCTGTGGAGATAGAGAGAGGGGGACAAAATTTAGTTATAATACTGCATGTAGGACTTAGTGATGGATTTGACACAGAAGTGAAGGAGAGTGCATTCCTAAGGATCAGGTTTTTCCCAAGAGCAACTAACCATTTGGGTAGATATACCTGTCTGAGATGAGGATACTGCAGGAAGACATATTTAAAATGAAGTCGGAGAAGAGTTCTGTTTTGGACTTGTTGAGTTTGGGATATCTATGAGACATCTAAATAGAGATTTTAGGAAGTTATATGGATCTAGGGGTCTGGAGTTCAGTAGAAAAGTCTGGGTAGCGATAGAAATTTAGGAAAAATTGGTATTTAAACTCATGAGAGTGGGTGGGATACAATGTAAATATAAAAATAATAAGACCAAGGAGCTTGCAGTGAGTCATGATCACAGCACCGCAATCCAGCCTGGATGACAGAGTGAGACCCTGTCTCAAAAAAAAAAAAAAAAAAAAAAACACCCCACAATAGCACAATCTAATCATAAGAATAATGTTAATATAGGCTTATAATTCCAGCACTTTGGGAGGCCGAGGTGGGAGGATCAATTGAGCCAAGGAGTTAATGACCAGCCTGGATGACAGAGCGAGACCTTGTCTCTAATTATTATTATAATATATTTTTTGAGACGAGTCCTCACTTTGTCATCCAGTCCCAAGTATAGTGGCACAATATCAGCTCATGCAACCTCCGCCTCTCAAGTTCAAGTGATTCTCCAACCTCAGCTTCCCAGGTAGCTGGTACTACCATGCCCAACTAATTTTTGTATGTTTTTGGTAGAAACAGGGTTTCACCATGTTGGCCAGGCTGGCCTCAAACTCCTGACCTCAAGTGATCTGCCCACCTCGGCCGCCCAAAGTGCTGGGGTTACAGGCGTGATCCGCTTCTTCTGGCCCCATTTCTAATGTTTTTCTGAAAAGAATATCATTAATGATAATAGGTCACACTTATCAACTGCCTTCTACGTACTAAGCACTGTTCTGAGTACTTCACATATATAACTGATTTAATCTTCATGATACCCCTATGTGGTAGGTATTATTATCCTCATTATAGACAGTACCTAGAAAAGACACAGAACTATTAAACTCAGAAAGTCCTTTCCTAAAGCCTGAACTATTACTATTATTTTGAGATGAGTCTTGTTATGTTGCTAAGGCTTGTCTCAAACTCCTGGGTTCATATGATCCTCCCACTTCAGCCTCTCAAGTACCAGGGTTTACAGGTGTGCGTGTCACCATGCCCCACGCTAAAGCCTGAGCCTGAACTCTTTTTTTTTTTAAGACAGGATCATGCTGTGTCACCCAGGCTAGAGTGCAATGGCAACACCTTTGCTCACTGCAGCCTTGACCTCCCGGGCTCAAGCGATCCTCCCAACCTCAGCCTTCCAAGTAGCTGGGCCTACAGGCACATGCTATCACACCTGGCTAATTCTGTTCATTTTTTGTAGAAGTAAGGTCTTACTGTGTTGCCCAGGCTGGTCTTGAACTCCTGGACTCAAGCAGTTCTCCTCCGTTGGCTTCCCAAAGTGCTGGGATTACAGGCATGAGCCGCTGTGCCTGGCAAGCCTGATTCTTAACAGCACACTAAAAGAGACAGGAGACTTAGCTTAGGGGTCTGGGCAATTCTAATATTTACAGATGGGGTAGAGAATGTAGAGCTGGCACAGAAAATGGGAAAGGAATGATTAGAGAGGCAGGAAGGAACCATGCCAGGCCAGAGTGTTCCAGTTAGGCTGCCAGGGTCAGTGGTGAAACACTGCTGAAAGGTGGGCCCTTAAAGGACACATAAGAATTGCATGGGTGATAAGGACGGGGAAAGGTTTTGGTGGGCAATTTGAGTAGAGACAGATACAAAGGAACTAGCTGCTGTTTGCAGTTGTTAGAGGGTTGAGTGCTAGGCCAGGAGAGGTGAGAGATGTCACTAGAGAAGTTGACAGGTGCCAGATCGTGAAATATGTGTAATGTTCTGTGTTAGTCTATTTTCGTACTGCTATAAAGAAATACCTGAGACTGTGTATTTATAAAGAAAAGAGGTTTGATTGGCTCCCAGTTCCACAGGCTATATAGGATGCATGGCTGGGGAGGCCTCAGAAAATTTACAATCATGGCAAAAGGTGAAGGGAAGCAGGCACATCTGGCTGGAGCAGGAGGACAAGAGAGGGTGGGAGGTGCTATACACTTTTAAACAACCAGGTCTTGCTATAACTCACTATCACAAGAACAGCACTAAACGGGAAATCTTCCCCCGTGATCCAGTTACCTCCCATCAGGACCCATCTTCAACCTTGGGGATCAAAATTTGACATGAGATTTGGGTCAGTACACAGACTGAAACCCTATCATTTTGCCACTGGCCCCTCCCAAATCTTATGTCCTTCTCACACTGCAAAATACATTCATGCATTCCCATTAGTCCAAAGTCTTAACTTATTCCAGCATTAACTCAAAAGTTCAAAGTCTCATTTGAGACAAGGCTAGTCCCTTCTGCCTATGACCCTGTAAAATCAAAAACAAGTTAGTTACTTCCAAGATGTAATGGGAATACAGGCATTGGGTAAATACTCCCTTTACAAATGGGAGAAATCAGCCAAAGGAAAGAGGCTACAAACCCCATGCAAGTGCAAAACCCAACAGGGCAGTCCTTAAGTCTTAATGCTCCAAAATAATCTCCTTTGGCTCCATATCTCAAATCTGTTGCTAGGAGCGGGCCCCCAAGGCCTTGGGCAGCTCCTCCCCTGTGGCTTTGCAGGACTCAGCCCCCACGGCTGCTCTCCGAGTCTGGGATTGAGTGCCATTGCCTTTTCCAGGCACATGAGGAAACTGTTGTTGTGTTTGCCATTCTGGGGTCTGGAGGACAGTTGCTCTCTTCTCATAGCTCTACTAGGCAGTGCTCCAGCCCCACATTTGACCTCTGTATTGCCCTACTAGAGGTTCTCCACAAGGGCTCTGCCAATGCAGCGGGCTTCTGTGTTGACTCCCAGGCTTTTCCATACATCTGAAATCTAGCCAGATTGATTCTTTTGAATACTTTGCTGCTTAGAAATTTCTTCCACCCGATACTCTAAAATCTCTCTTAAGTTCAAAATTCTACAGATCCCTAGAGCAAGGGTACAATGCTATCAGTCTCTTTCCTAAAGCATAGCATGAGTGACCTTTACCCCAATTCCCAGTAAGTTCCTCATTTCCATCTGAGTCCTCCTCAGCCTCGCCTTCACTGTCCATATCACTATTAGCATTTTGGTCATAACCATTCAATAGGTCTCTAGGAAGTTCCAAACTTTTATCTTCCTATCTTCTTCTGAGCCCTCTAAACTGTTTCAACCTCTGCCCATTACCCAAGTCTAAAGCCATTTCCACCTTTTCAGGGATCTTTATAGCAATGCCCCACGCTTCAGTACCAGTTTTCTGTATTAGTTCGTTCTTGCATTGCTATAAATAAATATGTGAGGGCCAGGCGTGGTGGCTCATGCCTGTAATCCTAGCATTTTGGGAGGGTGAGGCAGGTGGATCATGAGGTCAAGAGTTCAAGATCAGTCTGGCAAGATGGTGAAACCCCGTCTCTACTAAAAATACAAAAATTAGCCAGGCGTGTTGGCGCATACCTGTAATCTCAGCTACTCGGGAGACTGAGGCAGAGAATTGCTTGAACCCAGGAGGTGGAGGTTGCAGTGAGCCAAAATCCTGCCACTGCACTCCAGCCTAGGTCACAGAGGGAGACTCCATCTTAAGAAAAAAAAAAAAAAAAAACCTGACACTGGGAATTTATAAAGAAAAGAGGTTTGATTGGCTCATGATTCTGCAGGATGTACAGAAACCATGGCTGAGGAGGCCTCAGGAAGCTTCCACTCATGGTGGAAGGCCAAATGGGAATGGACACATCACATAGCAAGGATGGGGGGGGCGGGGAGAGAGAGAGAGAGAGAGAAGAGAGCGCCAGCAAGAGTGTGAGTGAGTGAATAGCCATCTTGCAAGAACTCACTATCACAAAGACAGCACCGAGCCATGTGGGATCTGCCCCCATGATCCAAACATCTTCCATTAGGCCCTACCTCCAGCATTAGAAATTATAATTTAACATGACATTGGCTGAGGACAAATATCCAAACCATATCATTCCTCCCCTGACCCCTTCCAAATCTCATGTCCTCACATTGCAAAATACAATCATACCTTCCCAACAGTCCCCTGAAGACTTGACTCATTCTGCTGTTAACTCAAAAGTCCAAGTCCAAAGTCTTATCTGAGACTTTTCTCTGTTTACCTCTGAGCTCGTAAAATCAAAATAAGTTGATTACTGCCAAGATATCATGGCAGTATAGGCATTTCTCCCATTCCAAAAGGGAGAAATTGGGCAAAAGAAAGGGACTACAGGCAAGTTTGAAATGGTAGCAGGGCAGTCATTATATCTTAAAGATCCAAAACAATCTCCTTTGACTACACGTACCATCCAGGAAACACTGATAGGAAGAGTGGGCTTCCAAGACCTTGGGCAAATCTTTGTCTGTGGCTTCGTAGGATTCAGCCCCTAGGGCTATTCTTATGGGTTGGAGTTGAATGTCTGTGGCTTTTCCAGGCTGAAGGTGCAAGCTGCCAGTGGATTTATGATTCTGGGATCTGGAGGATGGTGGTCCCCTTCTCACAGCTCCACTAGGCAATGCCCCATTGCAACTCTGTGTGGGGCCTTCAACCCCACATTTCCCCTTGGCACTGCCCTAGTAGAGGTTCTCTGTGAGGGCTTTGCCCCTGCAGCAGGCTTTTGCCTGGGCACCCAGGCTTTCTGATACATCCTCTGAAATCCAAGCAGAGGCCGCCAACCATTCTTCATTGTTTATTCTATACATCTTAGGCTTAACATCACATGGAATCTGCCAAGGCTTATGGCTTGCGTTCTTCAAAATGGCAGCTCAGTCTGTACCCAGGCCTCTTTGAGCCTTGGCTGGAGCTGGAGCAGCCAGGATACAGGAAGCGGTGTTCTGAAGCTGTGCAGGGTAGTGGGGCCCTGGGCCTGGCTCTCTACACCGTAATGTCCTCCTAGGCCTCTGAGCCTGTGATGGGAGGGGCTGCTGGAAGGTCTCTGAAATGCCTTCAAGGCCTTTTCCCCATTGACTTGGCTCTTAGCACTTGTCTCTCTTTCAGTTACGCAAATTTCTCTAGCAAGTGGTTGCTACTCCACAGCCTGCTTGGATTTCTCTCTTGAAAGAGCTGTCTCTGCCACATGGCCAGCCTGCAAATTTCCCCAACTTTTATGCTCTGCTTCCTGCTTAATTATATATTTCAATTTTAAATCACTTCTTTGCTTCTACACCTGAGTATAGGCTGTTCAAAGCAGTCAGGCCACCTCTTAAATGCTTTTCTGCTTTGAAATTTCTTCTGCCAGACCTTAAATCATCACTCTGAAGTTCAGAGTTTCACAGATCCCCTAGGGCATTGGCCACAGTCCAGCAAGTTCTTTGCTGAGGCATAACATACATGACCTTTGCTTCAGTTCCAGTAAGTTCCACATTTCCATAGGAGACCTTCTCAGCCTGGCCTTCACTGTCCATATCACAATCATCATTTTGATCACAACCATTTAACCAGTCTCTAAGAAGTTCTAAACTTTCTTCTTCCTGTCTTCTTCTGAGCCTTCCATATGTTTCCAACCTCTACCGTTACTTAGTTCCAAAGTTGCTTCTACATTTTCAGGTATCTTTACGGCTGTCTCTCACTCCCAGTATCAATTTTTTGTGTTAGTTCATTCTTGCACTGCTATAAAGAAAGACCTGAGACTGGGTAATTTATAAGAAAAAGAGTTTAATTTAATTGGCTTACGGTTCTGCAGGCTATATAGAAAGCATGACGGCATCTGCTCCTAGGGAGACCTCAGGGAACTTTCATGATGGAAGGCAAGGCAGGAGCAGACACATCACATGGCAAAAAGCAGGAGCAGGAGACAGAGAAGGTTGGGGGAAAGTTGCAACACATTTTTAAATGACCAGATCTTACAAGAACTCACTATCACAAAGAATAACAAGCCGTGAGGGATCTGCCCACATGATGCAAATACCTCCCACCAGGCCTCACCTCCTGCAC